TCACAGAGTTCACAAGAGAATGAAATGAGTTAATTTCTAAATGTAAAATGCTAACAGCAATTCCTGGCACATAGTTAGTTCTCAACAAATGTAAGACACTACCATGGCTCCATATCTGTCTTGGATGACCTCATTATCCAGTCTCCTACAAAGCAGGAAAATGGCTTCCTTGACATTAAACTGAAAGTAAGAAAGCATAGTAGTAAAGAACACAGGCATGATTTGTGGTCTACCAGCATTTTGTTTTAATGTCTTAAAATTAAGTATCTTGGATAGGTATTATTCAGATACAACATGCATATCTAGCCCTGGCCAGTGTGGCTCAGTTGGTTGAGCATCGTCCCATGTACTGAAAGGTTGCCATTTTGATTCCCGGTCAGAGCACATGCCTCGGCTGCAGGCTTGGTACCCTGGTTGGGGGCATGCAGGCGGCAGCCCATTGGTGTTTTGAGTATTTTGCTCTCACATGAATGTTTCTCTCTCTCTCTCTTTCCTCTCTCCTCTCTCTTCTCTTCCTCCCTTCCTACTTTCCTCTCTCCATTCCTCTCTCTAAAAATCAATAAAAACTATTTTTTTTTTAAAGAATGCACATTTAATAGTCATTCTGGTTTATCTCAAGACACAGGACAGTGCGGACTTTATGCCGGAGCACAGGACGAGAAGGGAGTTAGCTACTGATACAGCTGCTTCCACTTACAGACAAAGCTATTAACAGCATGACACTGCTTAGCCTGGAAGCAAGGTTTTTCTCCATTTATACTTAACTAAAGGTTTCATTTACATTTAATAAGTAAAGCATTTGCCTTTGAACAAAATCAAACAGGTAAGTTGATAGAGGTCAAGATCTTTAAAGCAAAGTAAATTGAGAAGAATCAGGACTTTATCCTAAGTCTGTATGGAGTAAGGAATTTGAAATAATATAAAATATGGGATAAGAGTTGTATGTTTTTATTAATTTAAATATATTTTTATTGATTTCAGTGAGAGAGAGAGAGAGAGAGAATGAGAATGAATGAGTCACACTGATCATCTGCCTCCTGCATGCCTAACACCCGGGGATCCAATCTGGGCATATGCCCTGACCGGGAATCAAACATGACCCCCTGGTTCATAGATCGACACTCAACCACTGAGCAACACCAGCCACACCAATAGTTGTGTTTTTTAAAAACTCATTGGCTTTCATTTCACGTGACCTTAGCATCTGAAGAATAATCAGCTTAGACCTGATTATGCTTCAGGGTTAGAGCTGCTCCCTTCCCAGCGGGTTGCCATTTCTGACTTGGTGATATTTCATTAGTGTCATTCACAGGCTGTATTCAACATGAAACGGCCACGTAAGGCCACCCGTGACTGTTCTTTCCCAGTTTCCCCGGCTTTGATGAGTCATTCAGTGCAATACAGCCCTCTGAACCAGCGGCTGATAAGAACAGACACACAATAGGAAAACAATGCCGCTGAGAGCTGCAGCCGAAAGCACTGGGTGCTCATCTGTGCGCTCACAGCTGTGCTGTATTCCGCTGTGTGCCCATGCACACGTCTCCGCCTCTCAGGGCCCCAGGCTTCTCGCACATAAAATAAAGTTTCTGGGGCCTCTTGCTGAGGTTCAGTCAACTTTGGAGTTTAATATCCGCCAAGAAATAGGAGATAAGCACTTTCAGGGACAGTGCTTCGTGGTTTGTGTAATTATAGTAGCTTTGCTAGCTTTTGGAAAACAGCAGTGGCCGATGAGTCAGCCTGGTGTGTAGCTATTGGAGATCAGTGATGCTTTTCTTGTTGGGAAAAAAAAAAAAAAAAAGACCTGACTACCGCATAAGTTTAGGGGTCAGTGGTCAGGGTGATGCCAAGCTTTAGAAATAGCAGCGAGCCTCTTGTCCAGAGGACGGTACGAGGGGACCGTTGTCACGAACTGGTTCTCCCTGCCACATCTCCGTGTCAGCTGTCCTCGGGGAAGGCACTCATGTGGGAGGCCATGGGTGTGACCGCCCCATTCAGCAAACAGCCCACTGCACATGTTGCGTGGGATTCACCACCAGTGGCTGGGAAGTGGCAGGTGGTATTTTGGAACCTCCTCCTTCTGCCTGATTTTGTTCTCCGGGGACGGGCAAAAAGGAAACTCTGATCAGATGCATGTTCTCTTAGCAGCTCCAGCGGCAAAGCCCTGGATGAAGCCTGGGCTCCTGTAGAGATGAGCAGATCTGACTACCCGTCCTTCCGCCTTCCTCCGGGCCCCGTCTCGGACTCCTCCGATGGCCAGAGAAGTGTGGGAAAAAATCCCCTTCCTCGCAGGGCTGGGCGCGAGCCTGCCTGTCTGCTGACCCTGTGCTTCCCCACATGTCAGTGTGGCTGACACAGCGGATGTGAGTTCCACGTGGAACAGGAAGAGGTTGGGTTGGGAGCCAACGTAGGGCTCATTCTGAATCCCAGCTGTGTCACTTCCTGGTTCTGGGCCCTGGGCTGAGTTATTTGGCTCAGGTAATAAGTGTGAGAATATTAATAGTCATCATGTAGGTAGCTTCACTATGTCTTCAAGAACCACATTGTGTTCTTCAACCGTATGCAAGTGCCTCCTCCTTAGAGACAGTGAAGGTGGGCTAGAAACTAGGCCTTGGACTCCCCTTTCCCCATCCTTTCATCCTCAAGAGGATCTCGGCTAAAGAGGCAGAGCTGACTCACAGAGATGGGCAAGGACCCCCACTTCTTACACACTCCCCCCCCCCCAAAGGTTTTCAAACTCTGTAAGCAATAATCTACTTTTTAAAAATATTACATGAAAATGTAAACTGAGTAAAAGTAGGCTTTCATTTAAAAAAATATGGTTAGGTTGAAATTTATAATAAACCTAATAGGAATGATGAAGCAGTTTTGTTGAATATAGACATTTGAAATAGGGGAGATAATAGATGACTGTCCAGTCATTTCCCCCCCGAACATATAGATAAGTACAGTTGTACCTCAGTATCCGGGGTGGGGGGGATTAGTTTCAGGACCCCAGCAGATATACAATCTGTGGATGCTCCAGTCCCTTATTAGACAAAACGGGGAAGAACAAGGCACACAGTTGACCCTGCCCATCCACAGATGCATACGTATTGAAAATACTGTTTTCGACCCAGGGTTGGTTGAATCCTAGGTCACAAAATTCATGAATATTGGGGAGCGAGGTTGACTATGATTGCAAAATAGCTCTCCTTTCAGTCAAGTGATACCGGTCAATGAAAGAAGAAAGGTAGGATATGCCAAGGCTGCCAACAGTATGTAAACCAGCACATATCTATTCATGTGTAACAGATAGGAATGAACTTTTGAATTATTGTCTTTTCCCCCAAAAATGCTTATACATGTAAAAAAAGAAATCTAAAGTAAATGTTAAGATGTATATGACACCTCCATCGAATCCTGAGGTTCGGCAGAAGAGTGCTTAGCCCTGCCTCCTTAGATCTTGTAGCACTCACATCTCAGTTTGCTCTCCGTTTCCATTTGTGTGTGTGTGTGTGTGTGTGTGTGTGTTGGCTTATGGAGATACATACAGTTTTCAAAACTCAAGGCCATTTTGTATAAAATGTGGTGAAATTTGAATGAGAGCTGCAGTGTGGTTGAGTTTTGTGTGAGTCCATGCCTTGTTTTGATATTGCGCTGTAGCGATATAAAATGTTACCCCTGGAGGGAGTTGGGTGAAGGGTACATCTATACAGCACTGTTTTTGCAATTTTCTCCGCATCTGTAATTATTGCAGAATTTAAATGTTAGAAAGTTGTTTGAAAACAGCTGTCTTGTCGTTGTTGGGAAGGAGTACACCAGATTAACAAAACAGTGAACACACCACACTCACAAGAGGGGATTTCCGTGATCTTACCTTCAAAAAGAGCATCTTCTCTTTCCTTGCCACTGAGTTCCCTATCTCCACACTCTGTCACAACTGTGACACTGTGGAAGTTTCAGAAAGAAAATCGCCACTGGTACACCAGGGGGAGCTTTTTGGGGAAATCCAGTGCTGCAGTGGCTTAGTTACCCAGTAAGAAAACGGCACTGAAACACAAGTGCTCCGTCTGCGGTCACCTGACACAGAAGGCATGTGGGTAAGGAAGCATACTTTTGGGAAGCATTCCTATGCTTAGCACCTTTAGTAATCAGGCCAAAGAGTGTCAACATGCCATGATAGCACAATGTGGCCTTTGTACACATCAGCGTCCGAAAGCCTGGCGCGGTGATGCACGGTGATGAGGCCTCTCGGGAGGAAAGGTGAGGGGGGACATAGTTTAAAGAGTAAACCTTTGATCCCCTCACTTCTCTGTGTGGAGAGGGAACGTGTGGTTCTCAGTTTCCCTGGATTGTACAGCGTGCCGTCAATGACTGCCTTGGTCTTTGATAGGATTGATGGTGGTCATGGTTTTTTATCACTGGAGAAACACAACAGAATTCCCTGAGCCATCTTCCCAGATCTGTCTTCCTTGTTTTTGCCAAAAAAAAAAATAAATAAAAAATGATTATCTTGTCTGCTTTGACTATATTGGATCAGTGGGGTTGGTCACACCTGTCAGACACCTACGAAGGTGACCGCGCTCAGGACAGTGCTTGGGTTAATGTGTTCGTGTGTGCCGATAGGATCCATTTTTATTTTTTGAATATATGTTTTTATTGATTTCAGAAAGGAAGGGAGAAGGAGAGGGCGAGAGAGAAATATCAACGATGAGAGAGAAACATTGATCAACTCATTCCTGCACTCTCCACACTGGGGATTGAGCCTGCAACCTGGGCATGTGCCCTGCTGGGAGTTGACCTCTTGGTTCATAGGTCAACGCTCCACCACTGAGCCACACCAGCCAGACTATAATTAGTTTTTTAAAAAATCAGTTTACTCGGATATCAAAGGTCCTTTGCATTCAGCCGGGTGTTAGTTTGGGGCCAGGTGTGGAGACGCCCTGGCTGACTCTGGAGACTAAGCCCTCAGCTTCTCCCAGAACCACTCTGTCTGACCAGCACTTCTGGCTCCTCCTCAGGGTCATCAATGCCGGGAAGAGCACGCACAACGAAGACCAGGCCAGCTGCGAGGTGCTCACCGTGAAGAAGAAAGCGGGGGCCGTTGCCTCCACCCCCAGCAGGAACTCCACCAAGAGACGCTCCTCCCTTCCCAATGGGGAGGGCCTGCAACTGAAGGAGAACGCGGTAAGACCCCGCTCTGCCCCCGTCGCGGGGAGGGGGGCACACACCCCAGTTCCAGCTGAGTGCAGTGTCACGGACAGGAGAAAGGCAGTCCCCAGGGTTAGTGAAGGTTAGCTCAGGCTACCAGTCAGCGGAAGGCAACATCTGTATGAAGGTTTTTAACCTTTATATAAAACACCCAAATCATACATAGATTTTATTGCAAGAATTGGTATGTGGAACATTTGATGGTCTTAAGGTAGCCACTACAAGGCTTTTGTAAAGGAGCTAGCTGGGCAGCCGCTCACAAGGGGTGGAGATAACTGTTGCCATTGACTCCCAGCCCCGCTATGATCGTGCCCCCTTCTCCCCTTCCCTGCCCCTTGGAGTTGTCCAGCTGGAGCCTGTGCCCGAGCCTATTGCAAATTCACATTTGTTTCACTGGGCCCAGAGCCCTTGCAGCCATCCCCTGGGGCGGCCCTGCAGACAAACCACAGAGCATTTCTCGTCCCTCCGGTTCCAGGAGGAGATAGCAGTCATCCTCCGAAAGTTCAGAAGGAAATTCAGGAAAAGATAGGGAACGATTGGCACTGTGTCCACCAGCGGTCCGGTGGTACTGCAGAGGAGAGACATTGAGTGGATGACCCACATGTGATTGCTTATTTTAACAAACATGTACAGATTTTTTTGTATCAAAATGTCTACAGGATTGCAAAGGATCTAGGCTTCTCTTCGTAGACTAAGATAGTGTCTCGATGCATTTACGTTTTAAGGAATAAGTACTGACGTGTTTTGATAGTATTACATCAGCTCAGAGTTAGGAAACAGAGGGGCCCCTGGAGACTGTCAGTTGCATTCCGGATCATTGCAGAGGCCCTCAGAGAGGGACGGCCTGGCATTTTAAAGCCCCAGCAAGAGACACATGTGGCTGGAGCAGAGAGAGTTGTCAGAAAGGGCATGGGAGTGGAGTGAGGTGCCTGGCAGGACCCGAACGGCCTGTAATCAGGACTTTGGCTTCCACTCTGAATGATCCATTTATTAGCAAAGGACACTGGATACACTGCCTAATGAGGCCAGTGATTTTTCTCATCTAAGGACATCCCTTAACTCAGATATGGCGATGCTTAGGAAAGGGTTATGACATAGGGCCCCAGCAAGAAAACATCCACCGGAGACAAGTAATGTAGGTCTTACGAATCCATCTCCTTTTTGTTTGTTTTTTTGTTAATCCTCACCTGAGGATATTGTTTTTCAGAAAAAGTGGAAGGAAGGGAAAGAGGAGAGAGAGGTAAACTTCTAGGTGAGAGACACATCACTGGTTGCCTCCCCTACAGGCCCTCATCCTGGTTAGAAATACTATTCTGGAACTCAGGAGCTGTATGAAGACCCAAGTTCTAACCACTTAACATACTGGTCAGGGCTGAATCTATTTCTTCATTCAACAGACATGTATTGAGCACTGAGTCTGCATGCTAGGCTTGGGGATAGGCAGTGCACTCAGTACAGTTCCTACAGCTGAGCAGAGGAGACAGAAAGAGGCCATATGCAGCAGGACTACAGAGGAGTGAGTTTTAGGAGAAAGGTGAAGAGTTGAAACGGTACTGAAGCCTAAGTCAGGCTGGGCACTGGTGGTTTGGGAAACCACGGAGCAGAGGGGATAGGTTGGGTTACAGAAGGCTGCCTAGAGAAAGTGACATTTGAGAAAAGTGACTAGGAATTAACCAAGCCGATAAAAGAGAGAGGAGTTTCTGACAGGCAACACGCGTGTGCAAAGGCAGGCTGGTGTCGGAGCACATGGGGCCTGTCTCCAGTGTGCTGGAGCATGGGGAGTCGCTTGGAGCGTGATGATGCAGAAACAGCAAGCAGATTTCACATACAGGAGCCACTTAATGCCTCAATGAGCTGGAATTTTAACCAAATGACTTTATTTTTTTTAAAATATATTTTATTGATTTTTTTACAGAGATGAAGGGAGAGGGATAGAAAGTCAGAAACATCAATGAGAGAGAAACACCAATCAGCTGCCTCCTGCACACCCCCTATTGGGAATGTGCCCACAACCATGGTACATGAACTTGACTGGAATCGAACCCAGGACCCTTGAGTCCGCAGGCCGATGCTCTATCCACTGAGCCAAACCGGTTTCGGCTTAACCAAATGACCTTAGACAAGAGCATCGTGGACAAGACAAGTGGCGGTGGGAAGCTCGCTGCGGAAGGTTAGGGGAGCCGGCTAGAGGCTGGGACACCTAGGAGTCTGCCTCATGCAGGGATCTGGCTGGGAAATGATGGCAGCTTGGAATAAGGCAGCGATCAGAGCAATGGAAGGCCCAGAGGAGATGATGTGAGAGTGACAGTTGAGGTGCCCAGATGACCTCCTCACGAGGAGGGAAGAGTTGGAGGTGCCAGGTTTCAGCTCCTGGATGTTGGTCCTTGAATGTGGGCCCTGGACCAGGTACAGGGCCAAAGGTGAGGGGAGGGCGGAAATGACTTGAGTTTGGAATATTCTAACTTCCTAGGTTGGAAGTGTTTTTGTAAGATGTTAGAAATACCTCTCTGGAACTCAGAAGCAAGAGGAGGGAGGTTTAGATTTCAGGAGTTGCAAACTCAAAGACGTTCCAACAAGAGAATGGGAGTGGAAGGGAGGTAACCATGCCGTCAGCCATAGAGACGTCAGAACAATAAGGTTGAAAAGGGGGCAAATACTCTCAGTAAGAAATGGGACTGCTGGATAAATAACGGCAACATTACCTTATTTGCAAACAGGGTTGACATATGAAGGCTGCAGAAGGAAGATGCATGGGCTTCTTCTATGCGGTGTGATTCATGTCTCCCTGCTTTCTTCATCTCCTCATCCCCAATAAACTTAATAAAGTAAAAATAAACATTTACAGAGTTCTTTCATCTAAAATGCCTTTTTTAGTGGTTGTTGAAGGAAACAAACTTTCCTGTAAAGTAACATTAAATTCACACTGGAAAAAAGAATTAACCAACCATAGGAGTTTTTTTGTTTTGTTTTGTTTTGTTTTAAATATATTTTTATTGATTTTTTTTTTACAGAGAGTAAAGGAGAGGGATAGAGAGCTAGAAACATCGATTCAGTTGCCTCTTGCACACTCCCCACTGGAGATGCGCCCGCAACCAAGGTACATTCCCTTGACCAGAATCTAACCCGGGACCCCTGAGTCCACAGGCTGACACTCCATCCACTGAGCCAAACCAGCCAGGGCCTCATAGGAGTTTTTTTTTTTTATACGTTAGGAACCATCAGTGATAGAGGGATTCTCTAGAAGTCTGGCTTTTTGTTCAATGACATTTCTTATATTGAATGACCATAGAAGTAACTGGATAGCAATGAGATGGTATGTTTCTTACTGCAGATAATTATTAATTGGTGTAAAGATTTTAAGGCAACTGTAAGCCATCTCTTATGCCGATTCAAAGAGAAGTCTTTTAGCCAAAGAAGTCAAATTAATCTTCCTGTGTGAAAACAAAACTTAAAACACACACATACACACACACACAAAAAAAACTTGGTGGATACAATGACATACATTATATTCTGCCTCTCCTGGCCTCCATGATGCACTTACTGGAGGAGTGCTGTTTCTCTGTATCTGGCTGAGCTCTCAACAGCAGCTCCTGACTTTAAGAAAGAAAACAAAGTCATTTCAGGTTCCAGCTACATATAAGGAAAAGGTCGAGAACTAAAGGAGCAATGTTTGGAAGACTTCATAAAACGTAAAAGGGATACAATTAAAAGCACTTAAGAGTGTTCTGCACTCTAGTGTTTTCTCCTGAAGAAACGCAAGGAGACATGGTTGAGTTATTGTATTCTTTTTCACAAAATACTCAATAATGGATCCAGTTTCTTTTTAAATTTCGAGGGTAGGACATAGTGAAATGAAGAAGTTTTGAACATCTGCAGTGGATGTGAAGGAGAGAAGGATGCTTTCTGTGACAGGCCGGCCTAGAACTCTCCCTATGCCTGGGTCACAGTGGTTTCTGTGTGAAGAACTGTAAGCCCACAGCAGGCAGGTTGGAAATGGATACCAGGGCGATGGATAATGTTGCAAGCCTCTTAACATCTCCATGCCTCTGATTCTTTGTTTGGGGACATAGCGTGGGTAGCTAGGAAGGAAGAGAATCTAAAATGCAAGTATTCTGCCCTAGCCAGTTTGGCTCAGAGCATCTGCCTGTGAACTGAAGGGTCCCAGGTTCGATTCAGGCCAAGGGCACATGCCTGGGTTGTGAGCGCAATCCCTCTCTCTCTCTCTCCCCGCTCCCCCCAGTAAAGGGTATGCAAGAGGCAGCCAATCAATGATTCTCTCATATTGTTGATGTTTCTTTCTCCCTTCCACTCTGAAATCAATAAAAAATATATATTTAAATTAAAAATAAATAAAATACTAGTATTCCCAAATATTCCCTTCATAAGACTGTCCCTTAGGAAAGATCCTGTTCATTTGCTGAGCAACACTTTATCCCTAACAGCCTCCTCCCTGCCTCCCAATGTTTGTGGGAACTAATCATCATTCCTCGGTTTTATTTCCTTTGATTTGAGAGGTTTTAAGGAGTCTTCATTTATCATGATGATTGCCAGCCTCAAGTGCAAGCATAGCTTTTCTAAGAACTTTGCTTTTCAGTTCTCAAGTATCTAATTCTAGGGATGAGATAAAGAAAAGGATACCAGATGAGTTCGCTGTTGAGGGCATCTTACAAACCTAGTGTTAAAGAGTTCCTGTCCTTCCCAAACAGGAAAAAGCTAGAGGAGTTCACCACCACCAAACTAGTATTACAAGAAATGTTAAGGGACATCTTTAAGAAGAAGAAGAAGGGGAAACAGATCAACAGTGTGAATAATTAAATGGCAATGGCTACATAGCTATCATTAATTACTTTAAATGTGAATGGATTTTTAAAAAGTGCAGGTAGCAATACTTATTTCAGACAAAGTAGCTTTAAAACTAAGGCTATACCAAGAGACAGAGAAGGACATTTCATATGCCTTAACCAAGGTATGGT